TTTATTTCATCAATGTAAAAGAATTCTCATGAGTGTTATTGATCCTACTCAACCACTTTTAGCCTTCAAGTAGTCGGTAAATGAATTAGTAATGCACTTGTTGGTATCCATTTTGATGTTGAATTGGGTAGAAAATCTTTAACTGGAATGATAATTGTGCACCAGTTGCCTTTTTTATTTGTTTGTTGAAAATGAAGGATTTCGTCTTTTTTTTAATGTTACACAACCTAGGCTCCCACTTCTGTGACTAGGTTTTCTAGAAATATGAGGTATTTTATTGTTATCTTGGGAGATGGTGTTATATTTTTAAGGTATAGATTAGAATTGAATTGTTTCTCTATTGTGTCGTGTGATGGGTAGTCAAGTTTTGGTCTAAGTGATTTTTGGTGTTGCGGTCGTAGTGTTGTAATGTAATGCACTAATACATTTGTCTGGAACTTGAGTTTGTACTTTGTAATACACATTATTATTTGTTATTTTAGTTTTTTTTTGTTATTTGGTGCTAAAATGGTGTTGTAACTTATACTCATTGATATTGTTATATGTTATTTGGGGATGAATTGTAAAATATTAAGGTAAAACTTGATGATGATGACAAAAGTTTTGTTGAGCTTATTACTTAGAATTTTTAAGCATTTCAATAATGTTCTTCTTTATATCAATGAATGAACTATCATCTTGGAGGATGTCCAATTAACTATTAAAGTTGAGGGGTTAACTAAGATGAAAGACTTGAAGGTTTAATAGATCAGGCAAGGCTTGAATGTTTTAAGTGGAAGGACTGTAAGTATAGAAAACCAAAAAGGGGAAAAATCTAGGTCTAATTCTAAGTTATGCTTTATTTTTCATAAAATTGGAGGCTTCGAGATGGATTGTTCTAAGAGGGCAAGGATGATTTCCTTCAACAAATATCTCAAATGAGGTTGGTCGTGAAAATGTTGGTGTACTGGTGGGAATAAGTTTAGAAACGAAAAAAGGTTTAGGCGTGGAGTTTGAATGCTCTTATCACATGTGCTCAACAAATAAATTTTTTGAGACTTTGGACCTAAAAGAATGTGGATTTATTCGAAACGGTTTTAATAAGGCTTGCAAGGTTTGTGGTCTTGAGCCGGTTTGCTCGAGATGTTTGACAAATACATGTTTTTTGTATGTGATGCGAGGTATGTTCCCAAAATTAAGTTAAATTTGTTTTCTATAAGCCCGTTTATCAATTTAGGCTATTGCACTATAATTAAACATGGCATGTTGAAAATAATGCATGATGCATTAATAACTTCTAAAGGCTCTAAAATGTATGGTTTTGATGGTTAAATTTTATTAATAATTAATCATTATCTAGTCAAAACTTTCATCATAAATTCAAAATAAGGTATTTGAGATTATGAAATGGTAGTGAAAGAGATTTTATTTAAATATCTAAGAGAGGTTAACTAGGTAGTGAAAATTGAACAAACTATAATTTTTGTGTTAATTGCATATTAGGAAAACAAAATAAAGTGGACCGTTTGAGTATGTTCACTCAGATCTTTGAGTTCGACTGGGATTAGAACTCCATGAGGTGATTTTTATTTCCTCATTATAATTGATGATTTCTCTAGAAAAGTCAGGGTACATATTTTCAAACATAAAAGTGACATCTTTGAAAATTTTAAGGAACGATATTCTCTTGTAAGAAATTAGACTGGAAACTAAACTGAAAGTTTCAATAATTAACAATGGCCTGAAATTTGTTTCATAGATATTTAATGAGATATACAGAAAATAAAATCTTAAGAGGCATATAATTATAATGGAACACCGCAATAAAATGGAACTATATGAAATCATGCATAAAACCATTTTTGACCAAGTAAGGTTCATGTTGTTGAGAGTTGAGTTACCCAAGTGTTTTTAAGGTGAAGTTGATTCTAATGTAGCATACTTAATCCACATATTTTCATCCACAATAATAGACTCTGAGACACTTATTGAAGTTTGGAGTCGAAACTAATAGAATGCTCTAATACAAAAAATTTAAGATCTTTGGAGTTGGCACCTATCAAGCAATACAAGATTAATGCTAGAGTTATAAAATTTATCTTCATTGATTAGCTTGAAGGATTAAACGGATACAAGTTGTGCAAGATATAATTTATAGGTTCAAAATTTATTATGCAACTAAAGTTAATTTTGATGAGGCACGTATGGGGATGTAGTGTAAAAACCTAGAATTTAATTACTCAAAAATAAGGTGATAAAGCTTAGTTTGAGGTGGAGGTCCCTATTGGTGATACTAGAGATAAGGATAATGTTAAGGCTTAGAGATAAGGATAATGTTAAGGCTTCCATTCTTAGTTTTTGAGAAATGCAACTTATATTCAAACTACTATTTGACTCATGATATGGTAATGAGAAATATTGTACCACCTCAAAAATATGGTTATGAAAATCTTATTTATTATGTTTTAAATGTGGTTGAAAAGTTTTGAGACTTAAAATAAAATGCCTTAAAGTAGGCATTTGAAAAGAAAAAAAACACAAATGGTTGATTGGGGTGAATGAGCAAATGTATTAAATGAAAAAACAATACTTGATAATTCACGAAACTACAAGAGAGAGAAAGAGTGGTTAATTGCACGTAATTCTACAACAAGAAGGAAGGAACTCTAACAAGTGAATAACTAAGGTATAAAGCAAGACATGTGGAAAAGAATTTTACTCAGCTAGATAGAATTGATTACAACAAAATATTTTCACCTATGATCAAACACTGTTTCATAAGGGTCTTTATAGATATTTTGAATCAATATAATCTTGAATTAGAACAAATGAATCTCAAAACAATGTTCTTACATGGAGACCTTAAAGAGACAATCTACATGGAACAACATGAAGATTTTGTATAGGACAAATCTAAAATATTTTTTCTAACGACTTATATATGTTGATGATACCTTGATGGCAAGCTCTTGCATGAAAGAGATTGATAAGATAAAAAAAAACACATTTAATGGAGAATTTGAGATATAATATCTTGGTGAAGCTAATAGGATTCTAGGGATGGATATCATGAGAAAACTAGAAAAGACTTAATTATTATTATCTCAATCTAATTACTTGAAGAAAGTGATGTAGTTGTTTAGGATGTTTGATGCTAAAAGTGTCAACGCTCTTTTAAGTCATCACATTAAGCTTTCAGTCATGCAATATCCTCAAATTGAAGATTAAAATAATGAGATTGAAAGTACTTTATACGGAAGTGGGAGTTGAATGTATAATGTATGATATGGTTTTTAGTAGATCAAACTTAGCATACGTCATTAGCATAGTAAATTGGTTTATGGAAAATCAAGGTTGAATCCATTAGAAAGATTTGAAGTGGATGTTGAGATATTTGAATGAATATGTAAAGGGTGGTTTGAAGTACACAAAAGCATCTCAAGAAATGGAAGCTTTTGAGAATTTTGTGGATGCAAACTAGACTAGAAATATAGACACTAGAAAATTCTTGTCATATTGTGTTTACTTTATTTGAAACAACTATAAGTTAGAAACAAATCAACAACTTGTAGTCGCTTATTTATAACTCAAGTGGAGTATATTATCTTAGTTGAAGATATTAATTAGGGAAGTCATTTGGTTAAAAGTATGGCTGAGGAGTTTGAAATCGCTCAAAAATGTGTGAAGATACATTGGAATAGTCAAAGTGCATTAGATTTGGCTAATCATGAAGTGTATCATGAGATGACAAATCACATTGAATTTTTTTTGCACTTTATCAGAGACATGATTGAATCAAAGGAAATTGTGGTTGAAAATGTTTTTTTTAGAAGATAATCCAACTGATATATTCAACAAGTCATTACATAGGTTAAGATTCAAGTATTATTTAACTTGATCAATTTTATTGAAGAGTGGTTCAAACAAGGAAATAAGAGTAAGGTGGTTGATAGATAATTAGATAATTTGACATAACCATCGATTTAAAGACAAGGTGAAGAAGAACTATGGAATGTGCTTTAAAATCTTAGAAAAATTTAAGATTCTAAGATTTGCATCACCCAAAAAACACCTAACAATAACCACAAAGCGCATGGCTTGATGTTATAGTTTGCTTGTAGATTTCCTATGGCTTGATATTGTTTAGTTAGTTATTGTTTGATATTGTTTAGTTAGTTGTTATTGTATCTTTTTTTTTTGTGTTTGAATGAGTTTTTTCCAAAAGATTATGTACTATAATATTTTGTAGATCTCTCCATACTAATCTCACTTCTCACTTATGTATGTTAGAAGAAACCCACATTTATATTGATAGACTATTTGAACATCAAAAATACTAATATTTTAGTATCACTTATGCATGTTAGAAGAAACCCACGTTTACATTGGTAGATCATTTGAACATCAGAAGACTAATATTTTATCTTTGTCTCTTTCATACTTTATATTCCAATATGATCTTCCTCTCTTTCCTTTGGCTTGAACTCATTTGAACTATTATAAAAGTGTTAATCTGTGACAAGAATAGTGATTTGGTGAATAACCCAAAAATCGAATTTGTATCTTACAAACAAACAAAAAATTGAATTTGCATGCTAAAAAGTTTTTACTTAGATGACTTAGTATTTTTCTATTAAAAACTGAAAACCATATTATTTCATCCATTGCTGTTCAATTGACTTCCAACTTAATAAAATAATGAAAACATATCTGTAAGAATTTTTAATTTTCATTGGGGATCAAATAATGACAAATTACATCATAAAATGGTTTCTCTTCCATAAACCATTATCCCCCTCCCTCTAAAACTTAAATCCACACCAGTGTGGACACTAACCATAAATTAAGGAATAAGAAATTTTACAATTCCAAAAAGAGCTTGAGAAAAATAAATGGGACATTAACTCAAACGAAATCACCTTCCAAAACAATATTTTACAATGAAGGTTACTTTTCCAACCTTATGTCAAATGTACAAAAGAAAATACGAAATCTCATCAACCTGACGCTATAACTGAGATTCAATCCATGAAACCTCTTCTCATGTCTTGCCTTCTTCCATCTCCAAAAACCTCTTCTATCATGCTACATGTTGGTAAAAAATCCATCTTATTTTTAGAGCAAGATACAAAGCCAGAATCCCACGCAGGTGCATCACAGGGCTCCAACACATACCCTTGGCTATAACCATTGCTTACTCCATTGTAGTTACTGGTCCAATGATCTCCATTTCCACTCTTCACTCTTGTCTCCCGTGAAGAGACTCCCATGTCATGTGATGTGTACTGATCATGTTTAACTTTTTCAGCACGTGAATCCTGCCAAACTGATTGATCCTGAGGTTGATTCATGTGAGGGGAACCATTGGGGTGGTGCATCTCAACAGGATCACCGTTCCTCTTTGTATGATCTCCGAATCCATTAGCAGCACAAGTTTCTTCTTCAACAAAATCGTCCTCATAATCCTCCAAATGATTATCATTGCAGTTATTGATAAAAGTATCATCTTGACAAACAGGATACTCTGCAACAGAATCATCATCCTCATGATCATCATTACCTTGATATTCATCGTTATCGCTATCAGCACTTAATAGGTGGTTACTGTTCTGCTCTGCACGCTTACGAAGCATAAAGACATTAAAGTAGTAACTCACTATCTCCTTTTTGCTTCGCGAGGGAAAAACAATGGAGAGATAATTCCAGAAATTCTTGTTGGATGATGCTGGATTATTATAGACAACCTTGTGAAATAGATGTTCATCCTCCGTTGTCCACCTATCAGCAACTTGTTCTCCCATGTCAGCAAACCCCAATTCATTGAATTTCTCAATCCCAAAGGTTTTAAATAGTTTATCTCTTTCTTCCATTATATGTAGTCTTACACATCTTATAGATCCCCTGTATTCACAGTCACAATCAGTTCTTCCCTTTCCAACTTCATCATCAATGGTAAATGACTCCATCTGAGGCATAGGGATTATACAAGTCCCCATCATTCTTTTTTCAGCTTCATCCCCATCACAAGCAGAAAGGTTTGAATCTGAGACAGTGTTAGCAGCATTTGGTACCCATGGGGGAACATCAGCTTGATGACTAGCTCCTATTGAAACAGGCTTGCGAGGAGATTGTTCAAGGAGTATGGAGTAAAGGTCTTCGTAGCGAGTTAATGTCCTTATGGGTCGCTCAGGACTGAAATATATTGGCCTTTCTGGACTGAAGTACTCAGGAAAAAGAGGAAGATGAATAGGCTGTTCTGATCGGTGATATTCTTCAGAAATGCCATTGGTGGCCCAAGAAGAAGCAGGAACACCTATCACAGGAAAGCTTGTTTCAGATCCCCCAGTCCCATTAGGCAGTACATCACAAGTTTCACCAGCAAGCTTTTCATTACAATCGCTACTACCTTTTGCATATCCTTCCTCTATGAATTACAAATGTAGACAAACTAAATATAAGTACAATTTATCACAAACTTGAAACTCCTAGAAATGTATTTTTTTTAGTTTGATTTACAAATTACACAAGATTAATAACAAAACTCCCACCTGAAGTTTTAGGCAAATGGGTGTAGCAATCATCATCAGGAAAAACAGATTCTGATAATAGTACAAGATCGCTGGGGCTTGCGTGTTTAGGGTGCTTGAAAGACACCTCAAGCATCTCCTCAGCATCAAAAGGACGTTTCTGCACCATGGTTGCCTGCAAGAAAGAATTCATCAAACTATAAGACAACAAGCTTGCATCACACATAAGCCACAAAGTAGTTACTTAGAATCCATACATCAAAAGAATCAATAAGGTAGTTCAACAACAAATTGAAAAAACATCATCAACATCTGTTATCAAAAGACAGACAATTGGACACATTAAATATCAGTTGAGCTATAGCATGTTTTCTGTTGACCCTCAAAGTTTTTGCCATAAAAGGAGTACACTAAAATACATTGGACTAAATGTTGACCATCTTACTTCAGAATAAAAGAATGTCTCAGATCAAAAAACACTGTTAACTCTGACATATGAATATTATAAATCATTTATATCATCATCATAAAAGAGGTGGGCCAACTCAGTGAAGCACATATAAGGACAATTCTGTAACTTCACATTAATTATAGAAGCATCACATTATTAACTACACAGAGAAACATGCCACTTCACTGTCAAAACTTTAAATAGAAAAAAATAAAATAAAAAAAATAAAATAAAAAAATAAGAGTATTAATTACAGTAATTAAAAAAAAATTAATAATTTAATAATACCTTAAAATGGGTGTCTGTCAAATTAATGGCAAATTGCTGAATTAGGACGTAATAAACTCAGAATCCTAATTACTCAAAGAAATTGAACTTTCCCCAAATAATTTCAATAAAACAAGAAAAGCCCCAAATTGAGAAAACCCTAACCCTAATTTTTTTTAAATCGAAGGATTACGAACAATTGACGAAGAATTACAACGATTCGGACAATGATCTAACAACCCCCAAAGAAATTTTCAAACGACGTAACCAAAATCAAAAAACCCTAAATCGTAAACAACAAAACGATCCAAACAAAACCAAAATCCAAATCGAACAAAGAAAAACTCAATCGCTTTATCCCAGATCAATAAGAGAAAACCAGATCGAGAAGATTCGCGACGGAAACCCTAAAAACCGACACGGTAAACCGACAACAAAAAAATTAGGATCGATCGAAAGAGAAATTCACGATCTAGCAAAGGATTGAAACGATCGGAGAGAAGGAGAAGAAATTGAAGGTGAAATCGAGGGGAAAAGAAAGGGGATCGAGATCTGAAAACGCGGCGCGAGAAAAACTAGGGTTTGTTGTATTTTTATTTTTTTAGGGTTGGTGAGAGAAAGAAAAAAAAGGAAACGACACCGTATTGAGCGAAAATAAACTCGTGTTGTTTTGCGTTGTGTGGTGATAGAGAGAGAAATAAAAGAGATATTTGATGGGAAAAGAATGGGATGTGAGTGCGGTATATATGGGACAGTGTGGGAACGAGGTTATGGGTAGATTCTAAATCATCATTTTTTGTTATGAATTGGGTTATTCACACGTGGCTTTTTGTAAATGGGTGATTTTTATTATTGTAACTTTTTATATTTTTTTCTTTTACAATACAATTAACCTACGATTATTTTTTAATTATAAATACAAATAATTTATTTTATTAAATAAATAAATATTATTGATTTTAGCATCAAACTTATCCTTACTATTATATAAAATAAAATATTTATAATTAATTCGAAAATCAAAAATATTTGATTTTCTATTTTAAATAATTTATATCGGTCTCTTCTTTAAAATATATTTAATGGCGTGTATATTTAATGTTATCTGTGTGATAAAAGATAATTTATTTTTTAGGTTTATTGAATAATCAATGTATTTGAACTATACTCTGATCAAATATATTGATTATTCAATAAATCAAAAAAGTGATTTATCTTTTATAAAAAAGAATAAAATTAATATGTCATATGTAGTATTAATCACATTTGTTCAAAAATATTTAAGAAGATTCATCTTACTTATCATAATTTGTGTTAGTTTTTGTAAAACACAATTTTTATAATAATAAAAGTATTTTATTGTGGAGTGGGCAAATATGAGAAGTTATTGGTTATTTTTGTTGTAAAATTCTTCAAAGTGATGATTAAAATAAATTTACAGCTCTGAACACTTTTTAGAGTGATTATTTTTAAATTGAATTGGTTTTAGACAAATCTGAAAAATCTAACAAAAAAGTTTAAAAATTTCTTTCTTATAGATTAAGAATATAGTCCAAGTAAATCTAGTTAAATTGTCTATGGTCACACAATTATAGTGAATACCTCCTAAATTTTTAGTCTTTGAGGGGCTAAAAAGATGTAGATGGAGAAGCTCAAGAGATTTAATTGAGTAAACACAAATCTTTTATTTAAAATACATTTTTGCTTTGTTTTCTCATTTGATATGCATCACATATTATTTTTGAATTTTTTATATGCAGACCACTTACTATAGTATTAGATATTATATTATTAATCAAGTAAATGAACATGACCCAAACATTTATGTCATAGCCGAGAGAGTCTTCACATTAAGTGACTAGACATTTGGTAGTACTATTTGATACATCATTTATGTTCAATATATACACATTATCAACTCTATAACTCTTAAGCACTTTTTCCTTATCAGCTTCATGTTCAATAAGAAAACTTAAGGTATTTAAAGTGATAGTATATCATTTGTTGTATAAGTGACTAATGTTAAGGAAGTGCGTTTAAGCTATTTAATTAAAAGCACACCACCTAAGGTAATTGTGGAGGAACTTTTACAATACCTTCACCTAAAATATTACATTGATTATTGTCTTCATATGTGACATATTAGTTCTTGTGTAATCATATATTAGTTCAAAATTATGACCACATTTGTTCAAATATTACAACAACATAGTCACTAGCATCACATATTAGTTCAAAATTATGTTCCCAAGTATTGTGATCATTAATATAATTGTCGATTTTTCTTTTAGTTTTCCAAAGGCATGTAACAAAACATTCATCAAATTCAAATGAATTATCTTTGTTAAGCAAGTTGTTTTAAGGATTTGGTAATTTGAGAAAAATATTTGATGAATCTTCTATAACCAACATTCTTAATTTTGGCTCTTAACTCTTCAACCAACATGTCTACTACCTTACACTTATGAATTAAAGAATGTCAATATATCTACTTTCTCAGACTTATGAATCAGAAAATGACAAAATATCCTACTTCTAATAAACAAATATAGTAGACGTTAGACGTCTTTCAGGGTAGGGTTACCTCACCAATAGATAGATGAAAGGATGATATCTCAGAGCATGGTCTCTCAACAAACAGGGACAATGGGCCATGGTATATATAAGAATATTAAATCTATGTAACATCTTTCAGACTAGATGCTTTCAATATATATAGATATAAACTATGTCTCATCAAGTTGCACAAGTGTGAATATTTCATTCTTTCATGGCTAACATAATTCAACATGTCACTGTACTGCAAAAAAAATGTACACATAATATATATATATATATATATATATATATATATATATATATATATATATATATATATATATATATATATATATATATATATATATATATATATATATATATATATATATATATATATATATATATATATATATATATATATATATATATATATATATATATATATATATATATATATATATATATATATATATTATAATTTTTAATTATATAGTTGATACAACAAAATTAAATTAAACATTTATTCATATGTTTCATATACTGTGAGAGGTATGATCCTCATTAAGAGACAACAAAGATAGGTTTGATGTTCCTTGGAAACTCTTACCGGTGCAGTTGGAGCCTGAGTATGAGGATGCGCAATATAACAAGATCTTCCGTGTGACTTAGAACCATGAGCATGAAACATATACCCCGTGTCGTATATTGAACCTAGATCCTAGGACGACTGACATGGGTCAACATGAGATACATTTGGTCTTTATCTTTGTGAATAAAGGTATGTTGAGCTATCCTACCGTGTCATAGATGTTCTTGTATATCTCTTCCCCTTTTTTAAATTGTTAATAAAAAATGAGGAATAATAAATAGATGGGAGTTTCCCTAAACATATTTGAAACAATGCAATTGTTTACTATCATTCCAAAAGGATCTATCGGGAGAGCATTCATCATGGTTTCGAAAGCATCCTTCTAGTGGCAATAAAAGTGGATTCTAGAATGATCATTTCAGAATCGTTACGGTTGACACAAATCCCCGACAACAGACTTAAGGTTTTTAAAATCCTATAAAACTACGTAAATACCAAATACATTGTAAAATTAAACATCCTTAATATATTGTTTGGCGATTATAAACAAATTGGAGTCATTTACACTTAGTTTGGATGAAAAATAAGAAGTATACATTTTTGGGTATTTTGAAGGTTCATAATTGCAAAGTGATGGAATTATAAAGAAGCAAGACATGGTCTTTGTATATACATATAGTTTGGAAGGAGAGTTATAGAAGAAGATAGCATATGGATGGATCATTTTAGTAAAATGAAATATTTGTTGAAACATACACAAAACTTTATGGTGAATCAATTGAGAAAATGTGATAATTGGAGAAGATGAAGTAAAAAAATAAGAGAGAAAGAGAGAGGGTAATTGAGGTTGAGGAGAAAATAAGTAATAAATGACATTAAATTAAATATTACAACTCGAGAGATATTTATACAAGCCAACAAAGTTATTGGAAAATAAAACAACTTAAAAAATAAGTTAAAAACTCAATACACAGATTTGTAATCGGTTACGCCAAACACCATAGCCGATTATGCCTGCTAAATTAGAAAAAAAGAAAATTGAAAATGTTTATTGTAACCGATTATGCTATTTCCCGTAACCGGTTACCAACCCGATAAAAACAAATTCCAGCTTCTGTAAGTGCTTATTTTTTAAGTTATTTCCTCCAATATGCTCCCAGAAGCTTATACAATACATTTGAATTACTATATACATCCAATACACCACCTTAATTCAAATTCTCCAAGTTCTTCATGCCTAAGTTCATCTTCAACTTCTTGAACACATCATTTGTGATTCCCTTTGTCAACAAATCTGCAACTTGTTCTTCACTTCGACCAT